CGCCACAACCAGAGAGCGCGCAGTGAGTTAAAATTTTAACACTGGCTTAATTCTCGCCGACAACGCGGGGCGAAGCGCCTGGCAAATTTAATCTGCGAGATTTGAATAATACGTATGCACGCGTGCAATTTTCGTATAATTCTATATTTAATTGTTGCGAGAAAACGGATGAACTTGGAGAGAAAAACGCTCATCAGTCTCCCTCCTTCTTCGCTATTTCTATTATATAAAACGCTTGCCATCCTCTATTATATTTCCTTGCTGAACATACGTTTTTCATCTAACAAACATTCATATGCGCAGTTAATTTCCCAATGTTTGTGCAAACTGCACAAAATTAATGAATATGTTGAGATATGCATGAGAAAAATTTTGATAGTTCGTTATATATGTATATAAAGCTATTCAAAGCTTCGCTTGTCATTAATATTATTGAGTTATTTGATTAGCAAATATATAAATGATTAATCAGCTGAAAACAAAATATTATATATATATTACAATAGAGAATATTAAATGTTGGAAAAAGATTAAAATATTTGGGTTAACATTTTAATAAAATGTTTCATAAATACTTGTTGTACACGTTTTACAAGCGTTAAACCGCACAAAAGGTTCAATGTGTAAAACATAATTTTTTGTTGTAATATTTATTTTTTTTTAATAATAAAATTTCGAAAATAAATTGCGCATGTATCGAGAAGTTTGTATTTTATTTCGGAGGAAAAAAGTGATGTATCGAGTGTATAGATGGATAGCGTATGTTATTTTTGGCGTCGCTCTATGTTATTTGGTGACGTCCACTTCTTGTTTCGAGATAAAACATTGCAACGAAAACGATGAAAAACGCTGTCAAGAATGCATCATCAGTCCAGCGAAAATGTGCGAACGGGCAATCTATCGCGCGGTATCCCGCAATGCGTTAACGGTATCGGTATCGAGGGCGATAGATACGACGACACGTGCGCGCTCGCGATTTTCGAGCGAGCTCTCGCTTAACGAGTTTCGAAGACAGGTAAGATTTACGAGAAAAATGCTTGTCAGCGCGCGGGATGGAATTTATGAAAACTCTCGTTTTTCGCTCCGGCCGAGCTCCGTCAGTCGGCGGCTCTCGCCGACGTGCGTCTTTTCTTTCCGAGCGCGGCATGCTTCTTCCTCTCCTTATTTCTCGTCCATCCATTTTCCTCGCGCGAAACTTGGTGCGCCGCTGCATGCGGAAAGTACATCGACTCGTGATGTACTTTTTGCGATACATTAAGCCGTATATTTTATGGGACGTGCGTATAACGGCGGTAACATGCTCCACGGAAACGCACTATATCGACTGGGGGATGAAAGGGAGAAAGAGGCGTTGCGAAGACACGCGAATAACGTTCAGGGCGCGAGAGCGAGTGACTGATGTGACTCCGGGGGTCACCCTTCGCGTAGGCTGGGGTTATCAACCCCTCTCCGTTAAATTACGCTTAACTCGATCTTATGGTCGACAATGGCACCGTTATTTCCACTCGATAAAAAGATGCACGATGATAAATAGCGCGGCTCCCCCCATTGACAAATTTAATTTACTGGATGCTGGGGATCGCGGCTGAAGACTGACATTCGCAGTGCTATATAGTACATTTCTTTTTATATCGTATCACGCTGAAATGAATTTCAAATATTTTTAGATCTTCGTTTATTTCCATTTTTTCACTTTCCTCTATCATATCTCTCTAAATATTCTTAATACCTCTTTTGCTATACCTATATCGAATGCGATTAACATAGATGATAATTGTAGCTTTAAATGAATTTCGGAAACTTGGACTCTATATAAATTTATTGTCGCTATACTACGTAATCATTATTACGAACGTATCATGCTGAAATAAATTTCAAATATTTTTAGATCTTTATTTATTTCCATTTTTTCACTTTCCTCTATCATGTCTCTCTAAATATTCTTAATACCTCTTTTGCTATACCTATATCGAATGCGATTAACATAGATGATAATTGTAGCTTTAAATGAATTTCGGAGAAACTTGGACTCTATATAAATTTATTGTCGCTATACTACGTAATCATTATTACGAACGTATCATGCTGAAATAAATTTCAAATATTTTTAGATCTTTATTTATTTCCATTTTTTCACTTTCCTCTATCATATCTCTCTAAATATTCTTAATACCTCTTTTGCTATACCTATATCGAATGCGATTAACATAGATGATAATTGTAGCTTTAAATGAATTTCGGAAATTTGGACTCTATATAAATTTATTGTCGCTATACTACGTAATCATTATTACGAACGTATCATGCTGAAATGAATTTCAAATATTTTTAGATCTTTATTTATTTCCATTTTTTCACTTTCCTCTATCATGTCTCTCTAAATATTCTTAATACCTCTTTTGCTATACCTATATCGAATGCGATTAACATAGATGATAATTGTAGCTTTAAATGAATTTCGGAGAAACTTGGACTCTATATAAATTTATTGTCACTATACTACGTAATCATTATTACGAACGTATATATGTGTTCGAATAGTAACAGCAGTAATAGGCAAACCTTCGGGGGAGAAAAGCGAGGGGGAGAGGTAGCAAAAACGCTAAAAGTACACGCCATTATTCCTCCCATCTAATTACAATAATAATAGCCGCGTAACGTTCCGTCCCTCTCGCTGCCGAATGAATTTACATAAACGCTCGACATACTTCATTATCGCGGCTATCGATCGTGGAAACGAGCGTTCACTCGAGGAGAGAATCCGCTTTTCAGATGGACGAATTTTTACGAATGCACCGCGACGGAGCAGCACGCGCGGATCGAGTTTCCGGTCGGTCGGTCGGTGTCTCGGCGGCCATCGAACGAAATTTCCTTCGCGCCGTGACGTTTCTTTACGGCAATTTCTAGCGAGATTGCCACGCCGCGCCCGTATGCATCGACGCCTCGTTCCTACACGGCCTCGATGCATACGGATGCGCCGAGTAGAGTATGCAAACGTATCCATAATACATAACTCGCGCACGCACACACGACGAGGCACGTGCAAGTCGCCCCGTCTGTGTGCATACGCGTTGCATACACATATATAGCGGGGGCGGCTTCGCTGCATCTAATGTACACTTTTCACGTCGCGGCAAACTGCGGCGAGCACCGTAAAGATAGTCCGGGGAAGTGCACCGCCGGTATTACGTGACGTGCCGCTCGATAATGATACCGCCGTCGTACGATAAAAACAAAGTGAGCGTTATACACCACACATGCATTCGTACGTACGTACGAGCGCGAAGGTGCAGCTCCCGGTGCAAGCGGCGAAGGTAATGATAATGGGATGCATCGCGCTTTAACGAAAATTCCGGTATATAACGCGCGCTGAAAATTATTCGTTCGCCCTCCCTTATCGCGCACCCGTCGACTTCCTCGGGGAGTATTATTAATATATTTCGCAAGTTTCCGCTCAGCGATGAGCCTTATAGTTTCGTCGAGAATATTTTCCTTCCCTCTCAATTAGATTTAGATGTTAAGAAAAATACACGCGAAGAGGGAAGAAGGAAGAAATTGCGCTGCGAGAAAGGATTTTTTTCGCGAGGATAAGGAGTGCGCGATTTATGTAGGTCGAATTTATTCGTAATCGCACACGAGATATCTTATATAGAGTTATAAAGTCAGACTTATTGGCAGACTGTAATTGCTGGCGGAGAAGGAGACTGATGTAATATATGCGTCTTTAAATTACATTTACATATGCAAATTACGAATTTTGAAAGTGGTACGTGTTCATGTTTGAAAAACATCAGTAGTTGCATCTATCTGTAATCATGCAGACACGAACTCAACTGCGCCACTACTGTTTCTGGATTAACAAATAATTGGATGAATTGCGAGCAAGATTTCTTATCGACACGCTAATGGACATTCGTAGTAGATGTGTCATGAGGTTATGCTTTTGAAAAGATCCTTAACATTTTACTGTTTAAACTGGCTGTGATCGTAGATTAATGCGCGGATCTTTAAAGTACTAGCGCGCTCACGTGTGTCAAACGCGGGGCCAGTAGTTACATCTACGTGCGGTCAGACACGCAACGTGCTTCCGCGACCGCCGTGTTCTCCCTGAATTCTAAATAACAAAAAAAACAACATCAATAATATTTAAATTGACTCTCTCATTCCGCCTGTTTATCGTATCGTATTCCTCGAAGAAATTGCGCGAGTATCGTGCAAGGTGCAGCTGAAAACGAGATTGTTCCCAAGTATATATACGTCAAGTTATATACGAACACTCGGGGTCTCTCTGAAAATACGGATAATAGCGCGTTTAAGCGAGATGAAAAGACGACGTGTAACGAATCGCTACTTAAGCCGGATCGTTAAGCGCTCCGATCGAAATATATAGAAGGCACACTTTAACGCGGCGGTTATGGGAGCGCAAAGTGTGCTTCGTTGCGAGAATACGCGAGAAGAGGGGGACGCCAGGTGCGCTCTCGGCAAACGAGATGGATGTGCTGGATGTTCGCGTATCGCGTGACCACTCGATCAACGCCGCCGCGAGTTGACAGTGACTTACGCACCCGGGCACTCAACGAGATATGACATGCGCCAGCGGTCGCACGCCGTCGACGGGCGCCCCATTGTTACCTACCTGTGTACCCGCCAAACACTCTTAATCTTTCTATCTTTCATAGCCTTTGTCATCGTTCGATCGTTCACCACCCATATTTCTACCCTCACCCTCTCTCTTTCGCGCGCGTTTTCCTTTCCTCCCTTATCGGCCTACTTCCCGTCCGCGAATAAAGTGCGACGTTGGTCGCTCGCCGCGATAACGTCGCGTTTATTTCGTCGCATCGTGTCCCACGGTACCTTTTTACATTAAAGCCGCATAAACTAGTTGGAGCTTTCGAGCGCGCGATCTCCCAAGAAACGTATATGTATATATGCGTATAAAAATATATACACGATAATATAACGCTGCGTCGTATTTCGATTGACAGGTGCTCGTTACTTACCGGAATCCAGGACCGTGTATCGTGGATTTGACGTGTCGATAGGTAGCATATCTCGCACCCAGGAGATGATGGGCGTCGGGGATCCAACCGCTGCGCAAAGAAGAACCGCGTTGTGGCCCATCTCGACTACCTTTGTCGTCGGCGCTTGAGTGATCATCGGAAAACCCATCGGCAGATTCTCCGCTGTAATCACAAAGGGAAACAGGTATCTTTAGTTATTAGGTATTTTAATGGTGTTTAAAAGTCTACAGAGAGAGAGAGAGAGAGAGGCGGGAGTAACCGATGCATTATGCAGCACGGAGAAGGCGTTGATAATATTATATAAGTAGAAAAAGAAGGAGCGCTTATGTATTCTTTTAAGAAAATTTTCCGAGGAAAGCGAAGCTATATAATGATCGTAATAAGACAACGAACCGTAAGCTTATAATAGTTGCGAGTAAGAAAATAATCTGGTTATTCGTCCTTAATACTTATGAGACACGTGGAACATATTTTTACTTGTACAACTGTCACATTACTTCTATATAAACTTCAAGTCATCTATTTGTAAAACTATGTTAAATCTTTTATTGAAGCTGAGATACGATATGGATTTTGAATATCTTATAAAACGGATAAAACGGATTTACATGAATTTTTATATACCTATATCTTTGCCTTTGCACACGAGTATAATAATCAATCGGATAAGATGTTATTTTTTCATCACGTCATCCATTTTTTACTTATATAAAAGATGTATCCTTTTTAAACTTCGGCATAATCAAATATTATGATTTATATAGCAGAGCAAGTTATACATGATTAGTTAGAAGATCGCATATTTGCTCGGAAATGTCATGTTTCGAGGAAAAAGTCAAGATATATTTGACGCGTACACGTCTTTTACATTGATGCGGAATAAACTTTGCGGCTCGTCAATTATACATTGGACATGCCGCACCATAGGATAGAGCCAGGATGGCTCTCTGTGGATTGTAGACATTGGGCATTCAGTGACCGGTCTCGCGGGATCGAAAGTTAGGAAAAGCTACTGGTGCAACTGAAGCCACCGGACCGCTCCGTGCCATTTTCCATTTCCCACCCCGGGAAAACAGATCTTTCGTCTCGAAAGGTAGTCGCTGATATGGATAGATGCGCTGACGCGATCAACGGAATGAAATCGCGGAATTCAATATACCGCGGCGGTTTTTTAAAACGATTTGCCAAAATGGTGAAAACAAATCGCGTGATATAATTTCCGCTTCGTATTTGCGCGCTTTCGAATGCTGTATAACTGAAACTGTTTTACAAAAGATTTTTCATTTTTAATATCACTAATTTATCATGTTTTGTACGTTCTCATTTCTATTTACATAACTTGAACGTCTTAATGTGATTATATTATACATGTAATATATGTTTGTGATAAATTCGTTCTCTTAATAATGTGAGAGGAAAGCATATCAAGCTAATTAAAATAGGCAGATTGTCAAAATTTCCATGAGAAAAACATTTGATTTTGAGAAAGAAGAAATAATATTTTTAACATAAAATGTGACATTTATTAATTACATGGTCTTTAACAGACCATACGAAGCATCCGTCGCGCGTCTAATCGATATCCAATTAAAAGATATACTGGAAATGGAGGCTGAAGCGCATCAAAGGAAGTCGTGCGTGAGCTGTGCGTAAAGTTCAGTCTTGGGGGCAGGCAAGAAGATTAATTCGACCTGTTTCGAGATACACATGATCCGACCCACATCGCTCCCGTTCTTCATGTAATTACGACGGCGCTACATTAATCCTCGGGGTGAACTCGTAGTTAAATCTAAGTTGGGGACGCGGCATACGAAGTTCCAAACAACTCCCGCGATTGTCCTGCTTCCGTTTCGACGGCGCTCATACGACAGAGATGAAGACAATCTTCTCGAGTTGATTTAATACCCACCTTCCGACGCCCGGTTATTCATTCGGAGCAGCCGCGTGTGTGATTATTCATGGAGTTTATTTTGCGTGAATGTAAAATTAAATATTTAATGAAAAAGATGCACAATGCATCGTGGAATTAATATTTCACAATTGTTTTACTATATACACTTTATTTAAAATTTTATATTTTTAAAACTCTGACTCTATTTTTTATTCTTTTATCTTCATGATTCGTTTATATATAGATTTTTATTTTACGTTAAAAATGTTACAACTTTCCTAAAAACACGGGATTATTTTTGGATTATACGCTGTTCCATTAATAAATTAGAAATTACTGTTCAAATTGCCATGCTTTGTGGATGTGTTTCTATTTTGCAACTGGATAATATTCGAATTACAATTTACGAAGAGGACACTTGTGCAATTTTTGCAAGTTCTCGCTGTCTGAGGTTAAAGTTACTGGAAAGCGAACTTGAGACTTATTACAAGGCCCACAAACTGGGTGAAAGTTTGCAGTAAGGGCGCGATCAAACTGCAATTACCACCAACGCCTCGGGGCGGCTCTTAGAAAGTCCATCTTTCACAGTCTCGTCAATTACAAGAGCAATCGGAACTCACAGACGAAGTTAGTGGTCGGTAGTACTTTCGCGTATTCTGATCTTCATTCACAAATACATTTTAAACCAATGAACCTGTTGGATCTTGATGGGCTAGTCAATCCTACTAACGTAAAGATATATTCAAAGGTTGGGCACATCATTTATATTCATTTGCTTTATCTTCTTTTTTTATAAACTTTAATATCTTCTTTAACAGCTAATATTTTTTGAATAGCCGATATTCGGATGGATTACAGATAAAGGAAAAATTATTGGATTTCTCTTATCCGTTCACCATTATCTTCTATTCTCTCTCTTTATAATTCCCCTTATCAAAGATTTTCGTCCAATAATTATTCGATAAAAACGGCGCGAATGAGTTTCTCGCTCTTTTGTGGTTAATGATATTCCTGATTTTCGAACGTATTTATGACACTGTAATTTAATGTATTAAGTTAATTTTCCCGATTTTTTGTACACACATAAACTGTATTTATTTAGGAAAATAACTATTTTTATATAAAAATATAATTAAAACAGTGATGTAGTACATGATCTGGTTCAACAATTTTAATTAATTAAAAAATTAATGCTAGTGACATTCTTTTATAAATTATATTTCTTTAGCACAAATAGAGAAGGAAATTTAATTATCTATAGACGTTCATCCTCTTTAATACAACGAGACTTTTAATTGCGACATTTTTCTGTCGTTTGAAAAAAAATGAAATAATAGAAGATGTATGAATCAATCGAGAAAAAAAACATCGTAAATAGGTCGACAACTTTACCAGCTATTTGCTCTACCATAGTCGCAGTATATATATATATATATATATATTAAGAAACTCTAAGAGCCATTGTACAAGTCGTATCCTTTTCTCTTTTTCTCGGCGGAGTCTGTCAAACTTAACGCGGGATTCGCGTGCTATTATCGCCAGAAAGGCAGAAGAGAGCGGTGACCCGATGCTCGACAACCCCCGGGACTTTCTCGGGATTCCCCTCTTTCCCACCCCTCTCATTGTCTTCTTCCGCAGCGCCGTTTCTTTGTCCTCGTTATCGTCCGAGTTATCCGGCGCGCGCGGCTGCGCCAATTATATCGGCGGCCGAGAGAACGCTTCGCGGTCGACAATAGAAATCGCTTGCAGACTTTCCGCATGCCCCCCCCCCCCCGCAACCATTTCCACCGCCCCTCCTGCATTTCTCGCTATATCCTCTTTCTACCGTGCGCTTTTCCACCGGCGCGGCGACGACAAACAATACAAGCGCCCCGACGTCGACCGCGCCGCGACGACAACAAAGTCGTCGGCAAAGCTATTGTCCACCTGGTGAACCGGCCACCGCCACCTTCCTCGTGTCCGAGGTCGCGCGACGACTATTGTACGATCGGAGAACGATGACGAGGGCAACGAAGACGCGCCGTTTTCTTCTCGGAAGACATCGCGATTTTGCAGGAATTTGTCCCTCTTTTCTCTACCCGCGGCGTTTTTTTTTTTTTTCAGTTTAGATTTCTCTCCTTTTATTTGCGATTTCTCTGCCTCCGCATTACTTGCGCTTGTGTATGCAAATACGCGGGCGTAAAAGGGCGAATATGATGGACCGAATGCGTGTGGACGAGTTATCGTCGGAGATGAACGCTTTCCTTTTTACTATTTTCTTTTACGATGATCTGGCATTCTATTTCTCCACCTTTCTCTTTCTCGTTTTTCCATTCTTTTCGCCAATGTATTCAACATATTTCACGCGATGCACATCGAGTTTTTTTTTATCGTTATACATTTGGATTTATGTTTGTCGCAATGCGATCATAAGACCTCGACATTTCTCGAGAGAAGGAATTTTTCTTTCCAGAGATTTTCACCCCGAGACAAGACATAAGACAAAATTAAGTCACCGACCCTACTTTCTTAACTTGATTAATTTCGCAGACAGGTGACGGAAATATATTGAGCGTTCTGTGTTTGTTTCAAATTGAGCACGTGTGCTTCTTTTATGTTGAGCTGCAAAATAATAAGATTGATGTCTTATGGCGACAACTATTTTTATTTATTTGACTATTGATGATTTATTCGATCAAATTTATGGACTAATAAGAGGAAAAGATGCATTATATGATTCTGATAATTTTTAAGAAAATATGTGTTAAAAAAATTAATTGATTATTTTGAATTTGTAGAATAAAGATTATACATACTGAAAAAATATTGTTATAACTTGACTAAATCTTTTAATTAAATTACTATTTTGTTAGAATATATATTAGCAGTTTTTAAGTCAAATATACAAGTTTCGTTAGATTTAATTTAAATTGTTATATTTAATTTACATTTTTTATGTTCAATTAACAAAATAATATTTAGTTTAAAAGTGTAGTCAAGTTAACAATTTTTTTAGCGCATACATCTTTCGATTGATACAATTTTCTAATAAGTTCCATAAGTTCCTTAGCTATTTGATTTGAGATTAATTACTGAAATAATAACATGAATAGTAAAATATATTATAAGCATAATTTAATAACAAAATATCTAAAATGATTCGCATTTAGCATCCCAGTAAGCAAGAAATAAAAAATATTTAATTAACATTTCAAAATGTTGATTTTATATAAATTTTCTAACCGTTACGATATAATGTTTTATGAATATATAAATGTTTTATAAATATGTT